TATCACCCTCTGCTGGGCTACTTTGCATCACAATTTGAGTGAATTGAAGGATTAGCACAGGACTAGCATGGGCTGAGTTCTTGCCTGGAAAACCCCAGGGATGGGGTTGCACAGAGTTGGACACGACTGAAGTGACTTAGCAGTTAGCAGCATGGGGTGAAGTGAAGTAATTCAGCCGTGTCTGATTCTTTGGGACTCCATGGCACTGTCCAGGCTCCTCCATCCATTGGATTTTCCAGGCAAGAATACTGGAGTGGGTTGCCATTTCCTTCTCCACGGGATCTTCCCAACCCAGGGATTGAACTGGGGTCTCCCATGTTCCAGGCAGACCCCTTAACATCTGCGCCACCAGGGAAGTCCCTGGTGGTAGCACGGGGTAGGGGTCTGACAAAGGCATGGGAAGCCCAAATCTGGGGAGATCAGTGTGTTCCCAAATAGCATACTGTCTTTGGATAGCAGCTTTCAATGCACCCAAGGCGCTTTTGATGATGGAGTAAATTTGGTAAAACCTGGGTGCCAATCTTGTCACTTCAAGAACTCTCGGAATGTTGCTATTTCAAAGCATGTGTGTGTGCGGGGTGGGTGGTGGTGGTGCTGGCATGCAGTGTTTCCCAAATGGACCTGACCCTGGGCCCCCTTGCTCTTCTATGAGACCAGAATGCCTTGGAAAATCCATTAGACACTAAATTCTGTATTGTTGCCTACTAAGAGTGAAGCAGAGAGATTTCCTGAATTTGTGGAACATTAAAGTATATAAAAGTCCTCAGTGTTGTTTTTCTTCCATCCTTTTTGTCTTCACTTTTTTGTGCCTGGGACAAATTATTGCCCAATAGCTGGTGGATAATACGCATCAATCCCGTGATAAATATATATGATTGCAGCGCTAGTCTACTTCTGGGCTGGAGCTGGCTTGTGGGGCCTCAAGAGAGTTGACTGTTATGTTTTCAGGAATGAAATTATATAAATATACCTCTCAACAGAATTTTCTATATTGGTTGCATTTCAACTTGAGATTTGGACCATTGATACGAAACACTGTGAACCCAGAACCTTAAATTAAAAAAAACCCCTAGAGCTTTCTAATAAGACATGAGTTAGAAATGAGATTCTCGTCCAACCGTGTCATTTCAAAGGTAAGGAAACCAAGGCATGGAGCGCTTGTGAGATTTGCCCAAAGCCATCCAACAATTTGTAAGAATTAGAAGTCTCCTAGCTTTGGGCTTTTTCAGTGAAAATCACACTCCCTTGACTGAAATGTCGGGTATTTACAGAGCTTGAGGAAGAATTTTGACCTAGCTATCTATCTTTTTAAGTAAAAACTGAAATTGCCATCATTGTTATAGTCATTAGAATGAAATCATTTACTCAACCAAGTTTCTCAAGAAGAGCTGTTTCCTTAGAAACAAACAAATAAAAAGCTTTCTGGACACCCGGAGCACCAGAATTTATGATCAGCTAGTGCTGAGTGAGACTTTTAGTGCTGCACACGAGAGAGCTCAGTCATATCTGACCTTTTGTGATCTCTTGGACTGTAGCCCGCCAGGCTTCTCTGTCCATGGGATTATACTGACAGGAATACTGGAGTGGGTTGCTGTTTCCTACTCCAGGGGATCTTCCTGATGCAGGAGTTGAACCCATGTCTCTTGCAGCTCCTGCACTAGCAGGCAGATTTTTTTTTTTTTTTTTTTTACCACTGAACCATCTGGGAAGGCCCTCTTTTAGTGCCATAGTTCATCAGTTCTAAGATAGGCATTTTTTTCTAACCTTTCAACATTTCTGAAATTGGGCTATATTGTACAATCAGTGGCATGTCATGGTTTAATAGGCAAGCTTCTTTTCTTTTCTTTTCTTAGTGGACATGAAAATAATGATGTTGCTTACAATGTTGGATTCAGTGAAACATGATAATTTAATTCAGTGTAGCAATGTCAATTTGGGTACTTTCTTGTTTCCATCTTTACATGTTTATCTCTAGTCAAGCATGGACATGAATATAAATATATGTGCATTTTGGTCCATGTGATTTCTCATGTTGCCTTCACTGTTATTCTTTTTCCTTTTTAGAAGGCATCATTAAGTCCAACCAATGGATCTAAGTTAATGAATCACTGAGGATAAGATATGAGTATTAAGCCTCAAGGAGAATCTTACTATATGTAGACATTGTGCAAGGCCTTGGAGAGGCATTTTATTTGTACTTCCAGAAATTTTTCAGCTTGGTATTATACAAACTCAAAGTTTGTTCTAGTTATCAAGGGTTTGTGTGGGTTAGTCACTTAGTCACGTCCGACTTTTTGCAACCCCACGGACTAATGTAGCCTGCCTGCCTCCTCTGTCCATGGAATTCTCCAGGCAAGAGTACTGCAGTGGGTTTGCTATTCCCTTCTCCAAGGGATCTTCCCAACCCAGGGATCGAACCCAGGTCTCCTTTGTTGCAGGCAGATTCTTCACTGTCTGAGCCAGCAGAGAAGCCCCCATCAAGGTTTTATCAATGATTAATCTAAGAAAACGTATTTCCTCCATTCTTTTCTGTACAGTATCAACCTCTGATTATGTATTATGCTGGCAGTGCTTATTATTTTTTAATTCCTCATTCTCAGGGGTCTTAAGCTTTCCCCATTGCTCTGCAGAGCACTCTGGCTTTTGGCCTCAGCCAACATCTGAATTCTGATGGGAGGGATTCCATCCAACTCTTTCTGGTGAGGAGAGAAACAACCCAATTGGAACTAACCTAAAAACATCTATCCATCTGACTCATCCCCATCAGTCAAACTGGACAAAGATGAGAATGCTATGACTTCTCTTGAGTAATATCATGAAACAGTATCTCCCCAGCATTTGTAGTCACTGAAGGAAATTTACCATATAATTATCATACCATGTGGTATGTGGGTTGAACATACCAGACAATGATAACATGAATGATTAAGTAGCAAATTAACCGCCAACTAACCAAGAGTGCTTAGTTCAAAATTTGTGCTTCTTCTGTGTATGCTTATGATTTCATATTGCATAAATACTTATACCAGTAAAATTTTTCCTAGTTTATATGAATACATAAAATGTATCATTTCATAGTCTTCCACAAAGAGCATAATGATCTACAGAAAATGCCATGGCTATTGGGCTATTTATTCCTTGAACGTTTTTTGAAACTGTGGCCTTGGAGGCCCTAGCACTGGTTGGGGAATATTTTTGGATTCCATAAATCACATCACATCACTATGCCAAACCCTTGACTTTCTTCCAGCAAGATTAGCTTTAAGCAGGATTCCTATAATGAAAATAATGAAGAATAAGAGTGGCCTCTCACCTGAAGCCTTAGATAGCAGGCATTAATATTTTTAAATGCCTCCCTTTGGCTTGACTTTGATCATTTGACTGTGCATTTGAAACAATGTTCTCCAGGGAGAGGAGAATTGCACTCACCCATCAGTCCTGTTCTTTGGTTCTGAGTGTAGGTATCTTTTCTCCCTGAGAAGTGTACGTGGGGAAGGAGATTGTGATTGAATTGTGAAGAAAAGCAAAGAGAAAGGATCAACATGACCAATTCAGCAGGAGAAGTGAACAATTTTTGATTTGAAAAGGAAAGTGAATCTTATAGTCTATATTTTGGTTTTTCAGATTGCAGGTTACAATCCATTAGAAGTTTGTGAATTCAATTTAGTGGGTAGCAACCAATTTTGGAGAGAATGTCAGATAGAATAAAGTGGAATACAAGATAAAAATTGTGACTTTATCAGAATGTCTTTCTTGCAGATAGGAAGAATAGTATTTTAACATAAAAGTTTTCAAAATATAAAAATTATTTTTAAATGTTTATACAGACATAGCTTTATACACACATATTTTTGTCGGTACACACTGAGTCACAATGTAAGATCTGTTTATTACTGTGTTATGGTAAAAAATTATTGAAAGCTCAGTTCAGTTCAGTTCAGTCGCTCAGTCATGTCAGACTCTTCGTGACCCCATGGACTGTAGCACACCAGGCTTCCCTGTCCATCACCAACTCACGGAGTTTGCTCAAATTTATGTCCATCAACTTGGTGATGCCATCCAACCGTCTCATCCTCTGTTGTCCCCTTCGCCTCCTGCCTTCAATCTTTCCCAGCATCAGTCTTTTCTAATGAGTCAGTTCTTTGCATCAGGTGGCCCAAGTATTTGAGTTTCAACTTCAACACTAGTCCTTTCAATGAATATTCAGGACTGATTTCCTTTAGGATTGACTGCTTGATCTCCTTGCAGTCCAAGGGACTCTCAAGAGTCTTCTCTAACACCATAGTTCAAAAGCATCATCTTGAAAGCTACAGGAGAATTATATGTAAACCATACAGTTATTTTAAGACAACTCATACTGGTTCTTCTGTTATTTCTCTTTGTGAGGATCAGTTAAAAATCTATCCTAAACAATAATGATATTGAAAACTGCCTTCTGTGCCTATCCACCAGTTGGTTGCATACATGAAAACATCTTTCTACCCACACTGTTAAATTATGAATTCCACAATTTTATTTCAACACCTATGCAAATCCATTACCAACTTTGCCTGTCATTCTGCCATCTTCCCTTTCTCCTGCTCAGACTTGCTCTACAAGATGATGGTATACATCAAAATATACTTTCCTTTTGTTCATTGGTTAGCAGTTCAAAGACAATTTTAAACTAAAAGACAACTTGGAAGCCTTCCTGTAAGTGTCCATGGATCATCATCTCAGCAGAAGGCACAGTGGAGTTGTGAAAGTCCCTGTTAGTCTTGACTCCAGTCAGGAAGGCTTTGATCCAAGACCCATTAGTTTCATCTGCTTCCTGGTCAGTTTGCCTCGGGAGCCTAAATGGATAAGAGTGAGTGCATTTCCATTAGAGCATAAGGAAATTTACATTTGCTGCAGACTCAGTGGTTGGTTTGCTGACTAAATATTAGGTTAGTTATGTGGTGTTGTCATCTTCAGCTGGATCCACCCTTTTCTGTTGCAGGTGAAGATCCTCATGTGTGAAAATGAAGTCCCAGGCAACCACGATTTGCTGTTTAATATTATTTCTGGCCACAGAATATTCTCATAGTAGATTCCATATCCGCACAAAAGTAAGTTTGATCAGTTCTTATGTGATCCCATGAGAAATCAATCAGTTCTCTGAGATCATTGATTTATGATAAATAACATGTCATTTCAAAGAAATTTTCAAATGATTACGATGTTGTCCTTTCTGATGGCAACTTTCTAAAGAAAGGGAAAATGAAAAGTTGAGAGGTGGCTGGGACTTGTGACAGTGCAGTATTGTCACAGGGTGCAACAGTCTAGTAGAAAAACCACTTTGCAAGCCATGGAGTATGTAGACAGGCAGCTCTTGAGAGGCAGAAGCACTAATTTGGCAGTCAAGCAATTTAGGTTCAAACCTTAAGTTTGTTTGTTAGCCGCACAAGTTGCTTCACTTCTCTGGGTCTTAATTTCCTTACCTATAACACGAAGAGTGTCTTTTTCTCTTTTAGAGTTTTACAGTCCTTTATAGCTACAAGATGCTTAGTCAGGAAGTAGTGTCTGACCCTTTTGTGACCCCATGGATTGTAACCTGTTAGGCTCCTCTGTCCATAGGACTTCCAAGGCAAGAATACTGGAGTGGATTGCCATTTCCTTCCCCACAGAATCTTCTCAACCCAGGGATTGAACCCATATCTTCTGCATTGGCAGGCGGATTCTTAACCACTGAATCACCGGGGAGACTCGGATTTGATCCCTGGGTCAAGAAGTTCCCCCTGGAGAAAGAAATGGCAACCCACTCCAGTATTCTTGCCTGAGAGATCCCATGGACAGAGGAGTCTGGTGGGTTACAGTCTACGGGGTTGCAAAGGATTTGGACACCCTTAGCGACTAAAGAACAGCCACATAGCTACAAAAAGAATTTATGATTCTATTATTGCAACCTAGCACTGATTCCTAGTATCTGCTCAGGTCTTTCTCTGTGTATTGGGTGGACCATATTAGTTCCCTATCCTAGCTACAGTTAATACAGCAGAGAAGAGTTTAGCACTCTAATTGTCACTGTGTTCTCCATGGGTCCTTAAACTTTCCAACAGATGTGCCCCATCCCCTGACCTTCAGCGCCTAAGTGACCACACCCAGTTTCTAGCCTTCATTGGGGGCAGCATGTTCTCTGTCAGGGCTCACATCCCTTCAGCAAATTCCTGCAATATCAGATGCCATTTTCTTCCTAGTCCTGAACACATTTTCTCTTCATATTCACATGGAGTCTCTAAGTTGAGATGAGAGAGTAGAGTCCCACTGTAAAGAAAACCTCTGAGAATTTATATTTTACAGGATGGAGATAAACTTCAAGGTCCTGAAAGAAAACCCAAGACTGGAAGAATTCAAGGTATGTAGCTACAGAACAGTCTTCTTCCATTTGAAGACTGGGCAGAATAAAGGAAGGACATGGATATTGCAGATCAATCCCCAGACCACAAGTTTTCACGTAGAATAACCATCTCAAATAAGTTCTAAATGTTAAACATCATCAGTAGATTTTCTTGCAATTATACTATTACCCACAGCACAGTCAATGAAACAAGTTGGCAGATATTCATACACGTTCTAGAATAGTAGACGAGAATCCCTTTTAAAACTCAAAAGGGAAATCTGAACTAATGAGCTAACAAGAGGCAGAAGAATAAAGAGGACAGGATCATTCATTCCTTCATTTAAAGATACTTTCAAGGTTCTTAAAAGCATGTAGCACTCTGAGGCTGAGTGATCTCTTCAAGTGATGTAATAGGTATCACGTTGGCGAGACTGACAGAGGATAAGATGGTTGGATGGCATCACCAACTTGATGGACATGAGTTTGAGCAAGCTCTGGGGGTTGGTGATGGACAGGGAAGCCTGGTGTGCTACAGTCCATGGGGTCACGAAGAGTCGGACACGACTAAGCGACTGAACTGAACTGAACTGAGCTGGCAAGATTGATCACTCTAGAGAAGTGAGAGACAAACTACGGAACCATCATGAGAAGTAAGAGTGAAATCCTGTGGCTCTCACCCACATAGATTACTGGGATCTGAACAGTCGTGGCCAAGTATATTTCTGGGGGCAAATACAAATATATACAGATTTGGAACTAAGAAAGGAAAGAGGAGAGAAATGTAGCTAATGTGCATTGAACATTTATGACAACACTGATCTAAGTGTTGTACAAGATGCTGTCTCATTCAATGTTTGTAACAAGACTATGGCATTATTTCCAAACTATATGAATGAGAAAATGAGATGCACTCAGCTTAAATAAATTGCAACAATGAATACATTTGGGTAGATGTCAAAGAAAGATGCAAAACAACCTGCTTCTATTCTTCTGTCCAAATCATAAATATTGGTCATCAATATCCTTTGGTTCACAGCCAGTAGGGCACTTCACTTTGTATTTATTTCAATACCTCGATAGTTCTCAGTATCATCTACTTCTTCCTACTGCACTGCTGCACTGCTGGTATCTAATTCTTCCTGGGAATACTTCCACAGCTGCATCAAGCCAATCCACTCTCCTCATGGGCCAAATTAAGCTGCCACCAGTTTTTTTGAATAAAGTTTTATTGAAACCCAGCCATGCTCACTCATTCACACATTGTCTTTGATCGCCTTTATACTACTAAGCAGAGCCGAGTATTTGTGACAGAGACCATGTGGCCCTCAAAACTGCAATGTTTACTCTCTGGTTAGCTTTGTTGTATTTAGCAAAAACATAGAATGCCTGGTGAAATTTAAATTTCAGATAAGCCATGAGTAATATTTCATGGGTTATACATAAATGAAAAATTATCCATTGTTCTACTGAACATATTTAGTCAGTTCTCTTTATTCATGGATCCTGTATTTGCATCTTTTCCAAATCAGCACTCACAGTGCTCTCTGAATCGTTAACAGACATGCACAGAATAACAGAAAAATTGTCAGCCAAGGTGCATGTTCCCAGTTGAATGAGGTGGCACTTGACCTTCCTACTATAAACAAGTGTTTTTTGTGGTCTATGTAGTGTCACGTGTTTTGTGTTTTTTAGTTGGTGATTTTGCTGCTTAAAATGGCCCCCAAATACAGTTCTGAAGTGATGTGTACTGTGCCTAAGAAGGTTGTGATGTGCCTTATGGGGAAAATATATGTGCTAGATAAGCTTTGTTAATGTGTTGTTATTAGTTATAGTGCCCATGGCTATGAGTTCAACGTCAGTGAATCAAAAGCATATATTAAATAAGGTGTCTTTAAATGGAAACACACAAAACAAGCTTATATATCGATATATTGATTGGTTGGTGAAAATGCGAGCAAAGCTTATAGGCACCTAACCTTGTATTTCTCCTAGAAGTGATGGTTACATATTCACTAGTTCAGTGTTTGTGGCAGTGACTTTATAAAGACTACAACTGCTGCAAATAATGAGAATTGACTGTATTTGAAAATAAAATCAATATTTAACTGGGATTTAACCTGTATTTTATCTGTCAACTCTATTTACCTGGTCCTTTACAGAAAAGTTTACTAACTCCTGCTCCATGCATGGTTAATTATCTTTTACAAATCTAATCATGTTTCCTGGTACCCCTCATATAAGCACAGAATCCAAGGTCTTTTAGGACTTGACCCTGCTTTCCTCCCCACCCTTATCTCTTGCCACTCTCCCCTCAGACACTCTGAACCAGTCTTTATGAATGACCCTCCTTTCCACATGTTCTTCACTCTGTCTAGACATCAGCTTCACAGTCTGCCTGGCAGGTCTTAGTGGCTGGTGGCTGAGAACCCAGTTCAAAGTTGCCTCCTCTGGGAAACAACCCCCAAGCCCCAGGAAGGAGTTAGATGTCCTTGTCAAAGTGTGGAAATACTAATCAGGCCTCTCTCTCTCTTCTAAGGAAAATGCCATGGACCTTGCAGTCCTTCTTCTAACTGCAGCCAGCCCTGTGCTCAGCACTTTCATGGAGAAATAGGATTTATCTGTAATGGAAACAAGTGGCAGAAATCAACTGAAACATGTACAAGCCTTTCTGTGGAAACACTCTTTATGGTGATGTATTTGCGTATTTGCACTTTATTTGCATATCCTACCAGAAACATTTTAAATGTTTTCTGTTCAGCATAATAAGTTTCAGATCTGGACTTGAGAAATTCTACAGAGTGGATTCAAGTTTACCTCTCATCATTCCTTCCTCACCCAAACTCTCAACCACTTTATTTCTCTCTCTCAAAATCTTTTCTCAACAACAACAACAAAAAAGGATCTGAAATTCATTCTGAGAGTGATAAACACTTAGAGATTAAAGTCTTAGCTTTAAAAATGGATTTTTATACCTTTTATGCTAATGAATTAAGCAACAGAATGTGTCTAGGGTTAAATTCACTTTAATATCTTTTTCTAATACTTTTAATGACTTGACCAAAGGAAGACAGAGGTGTGTGTTCCAGAAAGAATAAAAATTCAATGAATAAAACAATTCTCAATTAAAATATTTTATTTTGTATCCTTTCACTTAGCCACTGTTTTTCTGCCTCTCCTTCATCCTTGTAGAAGCACATTGATTTCTGCATATCCTAAAATGTCAAGTGTTTTTAGAATAGGAGTATCAATGCAGTCTCTCACTTCAGTTCAGTTTAGTTCAGTCGCTTAGTTGTGTCCAACTCTTTGCAGCACCATGAATCATAGCACACCAGGCCTCCCTGTCCATCAGCAACTCCCAGAGTTTACTCAAACTCATGTCCATTGAATCAGTGATGCCATCCAACCATCTCATCCTCTGACATCCCCTTCTCCTCCTGCCCTCAATCTTTCCCAGCACCAGGGTCTTTTCAAATGAGTCAGCTCTTTGCAACAGGTGGCCAAAGTATTGGAGTTTCAGCTTCAACATCAGTCCTTCCAATGAACACCTAGGACTGATCTCCTTTAGGATGGACTGGTTGGATCTCCTTGCAGTCCAACGGACTCTCAAGAGTCTTCTCCAACACCACAGTTCAAAAGCATGAATTCTTTGGTGCTCAGCTATCTTTAAAGTCCAGCTCTCAAATCCACACATGACTACTGGAAAAACCAAAGTTTTGACTACATGGACCTTTGTTGGCAAAGTAATGTCTCTGCTTTTTAGTATGCTGTCCAGGTTGGTCATAACTTTTCTTCCAAGGAGTAGACATCTTTTAATTTCACAGCTGCAGTCACCATCTGCAGTGATTTTGGAGCCCCAAAAAATATAGTCTGCCACTGTTTCCACTGTTTCTCCATCTATTTGCCATGAAGTGATGGGATTGGATGCCATGATCTTAGTTTTCTGAATGTTGAGCTTTAAGCCAACTTTTTCACTCTTCTCTTT